CAGGCAGGCAGGCAGGCAGGCAGGCAGGCACGCGCCCATTGTTGCCCTGTCGTCGGCCGCATTGGTTCGGGTCTGGCGCGGCTCAACGTGCGTCCGTGCCCTGGCGGGGCGGGGCGGGGCGCTGCAATGACGATTCTTGGCATTTTCCTCCCATGCGAGCCTTCCAAGCGCGTGTGCCGTTGCGTTGCGTCAGAGTGCCGCCCGCCGATCCGAATTCGCAAATGCCTGCATCCTGCATCTCAGTCAGCTCGCTCTCGATTTCGCCCGATCGATCCCGATTTGTCCTACTCCCACCTCAAGAGTCGAGCATTTCTGTGTCGGATTGGGGTATTCGTATGAATTGCTGCAGTGTGATGATCAGGCCCCGCCCGCCAGCTCGACAATGAGCCGTGTGGCACACTCGAGGAACAGGAACGGCGAGTTGACCTCCTTGCGACCGGCTGGCACCGCCGGCGCCAGCGACGGCTTGATGCGCGTCCCGTCGAATCGGTGCTGCGCAGGAGGCTCGCCATCGCGCATCGCCTGCTGCGTCTCGCTCATCGCCCTTTCGAATGCCGCCTCGAGCTTGGCCACTTCGCCATCCGTGTCCGCATCCGCATCTGTCGTCTCCGTCCCCGCTGTGGCCTCGGGCTGGAGCATGGTGTAGCCGACGTTGCGAAAGTCGACGAGGTAGTTGACCGCATCCACGTGGTACAGCTGCAGATCCATGCGCACCACCACATGCCCCACCTTCCAGCGCGTCTCCAAGAAGAAAAGCTCCTCGCCCTTGCCTGCTGCCGACTCACTCCCGCTTGCCGCGTGCTTCTCCTTGTCGGCTGCATCGCCCTCGCCCTCGCCCTCGCCCTCGTGCGCCGCCTTGGCCGCGCGCGCCACAGGCTTCTGGCGCCACTCCATGCCGAGCGACTGCAGCGTGCGGTAGAGCTCGAGCATGATCTCCATGGGCGGACTGCGCGAGCGGATGCCAAAGTGCCAGCGCGACCGCGGCTTCTTGTGCATCTGCGCCGCCGACGCTGCCGCCGCCGCCGGCAGCGCAGGTGTTCCACTCCCCGACGTGGGCGACAACGGCGTGCACTGCGGCCAAGCCGTCTTGTCGGCCGAGGGTGTTGCCAGCCGTTCCGCCTCGCGCGCTCGCAGGTAGCCGGGCAGCGACGTCTCGAGCACCGCGATGCGCACCATGCGCTCGCCCGCCGCATCCTCGGCGTCCGTCAGCTGGCCGTCTTCATCCGTAAGCAGATCGTCGTCGTCGCTCGCCAGCGTCTCGTTGCCGTCGTCCGACGGATCCACCTCGGCCGCATCCACCGCAAACGAGTCGCCCTCCTCGTCGTCCGCCGCCGTTGCCGTTGCATGAGCCGAGGCCGGGAGCGGCGGCACAGGCTCCCGCGGCG